TCGAAACGGCTCGGGAAATTTAATCAAAAAAGCTGCTGATGAACGCAAATGATTCGTTGAATCGTCCGCATTGCAATGGTACATTGTTTTGTCCACCTTTTATTCCTAATTGATAATAATTATTTATCCATCGTCCTCTCCGTTTCAATTCAGTGATAAGCACAGCTTCTGGACAGCCCACATTCTGATAATATCACTTTATGCCTTATCGTGGTTGTGTTATCTTAGTAACTGGATTATGATTCGGATATAGAAAAGACATTTAGAAGTATCCCTTTATATAAATGTTATTCTTGTGAAGTCAGGTAATAATCGCAACTTGTGAAAGAAATTTACTTTTTCTAATTGTAAGATTTGAGTTCGCTTGAAAAGCAATCAGGCAATCGCGTTCAGAAACTTGCTTAGAATATAATGTTGATATTTGTCTGAACGGTCATAAGAAAGTAGCTGTATGGTTTCAGCAGAGCTGATCGAAGCGGCGAATGTGAATCGGATTCTAAAAGATGTGACATTCGTTCGAATTTACCTGGATAGTGTTTATATGAATGATTTGAATAACGAATGCATCGATGTTCTCATCAAAAGTCGTTCGCTGTTCGGTTTCGTGCTCGAATACGAATTTCCGTCGTTGGATTATGTGTCCACCTCACTCAAAGCTCGTGTTCGCATCAATGCAAAAAGCTTCAATTCGAACGCGATTCACTTTCGACATCGACGTGTTGTTCGTGTTAAAATGCATCCGAATATTGTGAATTGCTGGACGAATCGTTCCCTTCAAATGACCATCTACGCTCGTCTCAACACCCTCGGCAAATATTCCATCAAGTTATTGGGTCGTTGCACTCTGCATCTCGATCAATTGGTTCGGCCACCGTTCGTTATTTGTCGACATTTAACATTCGAAGGACCAGGTTTTTGTGGTACTGCGCTGATAAGAATAGACTTGGGATCGCATATAAAATCACTGATGGAGTATTTGGAGATGATGCGTGATGGTGATCGGATGATTGAAGAAGAAGAGCGATTGCGAAGAACATCAGCGAACAGATCTCGATCGCGAACTCGATCCAAATCCGAGTCGAGATGGCATGGCAGTGGGTCAGAACGGTCAAGAAGTGAGTCTGAATCCTATTCAAGGCCATGCTCACGCAACGGTTATGTATCGTCCAGACCCAGCAGCCTTACAAGACAACAACGCGTTCCTTTCAAATCTTTAACACATCAACAAGACAAACCAAGGCACTCTTCCTCATCACCTTTCAATGACATCAGCTCTTCTAATCAACCTTCATCCATAAATAATCGCCCGTTGATATCCCCTCCACCAATCCAAATGTCGTCTCCACATCTATCACCAAAATTAACCGATAATCCGAACACATATCGTATTATTTTGACTGTGCACTCTGCCCGTCGTCTTCCAATTTTCTATGCACCGAGGTATAGAATCCTTTTACGTTTATTTATTATTATTATTCATAAAATAAACAGATTACTATGCAGTGATTCAGATTTTACGTGATGATTTTGAAAGAATCTGATTGTGAGACCAGGAAATATTTTATTTTTGCTTAAGCTTTCATTTACTATTAAGTGAATAAGAGCTTTATTATTGTCGTAGTTATTATTGTTTTGAGTATTATTATTATCATGATTGTTGGTTTAATCATGATAATATTTATGTAGGTGAAATTGGTGAAGCTCTAGTGAAAAATAGTATTTAAAAAAAAGCTGTACATGACAATCAAGTGAAGTGAAATGCAATTGAAGGGGTGAAGCTGTAGCGCCATCGACATACGTCACAGTGAATGGTGCAGACGGCCGTATGTTGAGTTCATCAGTTCGAGCATCAACATTACGTCCTGAATGGAATTGGACCGAGTCATTCGATGTTTGTAGCGTTTTTGAGTCATTCAACGTTCAATTCCAGCATTCACAATATTTTCCATCATTCAGAATGAGTATTCAATGAGATAATTATTTGAAGTAAACGCATTCAATACTGTTGTAACTTGGAAGAGTTCATCAGCTCATAATTTATTTTACTGAATGTGATTTAAAAGGCTGGCGAGATGTGCATAACTCATAGAAAAGATAGCACATTGCTTATGAGTAAGATTTATGGTGAGTATATTAGCGAGAGAATTCAAAATCGACTTTCTCGATGATCAGTTCAACAGATGTCTCAATGAGAATGTATTCGAAAAATGAAAATTGCAGGTGCCTAAAGATCGACGCAATTTGATTGTGAAATTGTGGCGTAAAAGTGTGACGGGAAGTGATCGAGTGATTGGTTTTGTATCGATACCATTACCACCGTCTAAGTCAATAACAGAGAATGAATATGAAATGTCAGATTTGGGTGTTGCTGAACAAACACCGCTGATTACGGTTCGTTTGTTCTCTTCCGTTGACGGTTGTTTCTCGTTTTACAATATTAATGCTTTATCAGTGATATTATTACATATTCATGACATTCATATTCCTATGTGGCCAATACTTCGGAGAGCAATTCAAAGCTTATGGGTCTGGATCCCCTTGGGGAACGGATCTATTCTTGTGCTGAAAAGTTGAATGACACTGAATGAAGTTTTAAAAGAAGGAATGTAGTGAGACAAAGAGCTATATTTAAGAATATGTATTGTAAATAATTTAATTTAACGTTTTTAATAGATGTCAATTATGAAATGTGATGACAATGAGATGTCAAACGAAAAGATGTTCGAAACATCGTCCCAGATGGCTTTACCGATCCCGAGCGGTCGTCGTCCTTTACTGTGTCGAAGTCCATCGCCAACCATCGATAGGATGTCGAGGGAGGAAATATCCGAAAGACTGCGGTTTGTTTATTATTTCATTCCTGTTTCTGGATCCACTGTTAAGTTTTTGTGAACATCTCCAATAATAACTTTGCCCTTTTCAGAGTCAAAAAATTTTCCCGATTGGCTGATAACTTAAAATTTTATTGCCCCTATCGGTAGACAATGAGAATGTTTGGAATGAATGTTTTTGATGGTGGTTATTGCGATAAACAGTTTCGATTAGGTATGGTGTAAGGTGGATAAGTTGTTCGAAAGAATAAGTAGATTATATTTCAGGAAAAATCTGAGTGAACTCGAAATGATGATGGCTGAATTGCGATATTCACAATAATTATCGCTGTATGATAGTATTGTTTAATTTGTATATTGATCTGCATTCCATATGTACGTGTCTGAATATGTGCATGTTAGGCTTGTAAGCGTTGCAGTCCAAAGTAATTCCTTTCTTTCAGTGCAGCGGTTGATCTCTGCTCTCTCGTTGTTTTTTTTTTGTCTTTAACATCTTTGACACGATAAAGATTCGGATATACGTGCTCATTTCTGCCTTAATGAGTGTTTTCGTTCGGCTGAAAATTGGAATCATGAGAAATATCCCTGTACAACGAAGCGTTATTTTATTCTGAACCTTATGCATAGAATGCAGTTATAATCCGGAAATCACTTAACATAGACAATGAATCTGAACAATCATTAAGCGGCACGTGAATCAAAGGCAAAATGTTAAATTCCGATGCAAATATACGTGTGAATTTGATTGCGAAAAGTGACCTCATAATTTCAAATTATTTCAATTTTTATGTGGTGAATTGATTGTGTTTCATTGTTTTGTCATTAATTTTCCCTCTCACATCTTTCAATCACAAAAATAATGGTAATGCTAATTGCTCATCATTGAAAACTCAGTTAATTGTCTCAATTGATCGCTCCACCGTTGTGCATTACTGTAATCGTTCGCTTTTACAATCAACTTTCTGTGTTTTCATTACCAGTCTTTTGTTTGCTGTATTCACCGATGTATATTGTACATAAATATGCACATGAATATGTACTGAATGTTTGTAGCGTATTATTTATTATTAATCACGAATAAATTCATTCTTCTTGAGTTGTCATTCGCTGACATATTCGTTGCATGCAGATTACCGCATATTTCAAATTCCACGCTTTGCTTTCCATAGAAACACTCTAGTGAACTGAAATTGATTCTGTCA